TGATCTAATTCTATTAAGTTTCATGAGCTAGCATTTGCGAATTCTTGATAATCACTTAATTAAGCAGATAAAAATTACCCCTTAAATTTCGATCGGTATATATTAAATCGATGCTAAAACGGGGGCCTTCCCGTTGCCCAAAAGGCCTCGTTCGGCATTTGGATCGAGTTAAAAAGATTGGGCGGCATTCCTTGAAACAATGAAGGGTCAGCCAGAACTTGCTGCTGGTGGTTTTGCGGTGGCTGCCCGCTGCCGCCCAAACCGCCGGGCGGCGATCCGAGGGAAGAACTTCCCGGAACTTGATTATTATTATTATTAATGGCCGCGTTTTCATCTTCTTCCAATGGCAATCTTTCGTATGCGGCGTTGCTGAATGAAGCCGCCATTATAATAACCGGTCCCGATGCTAGCAGCTGCCCGACCACGCTGCCCCCCAGAACCTGCCCCTGCCCGCCGGCCAAGTATATGGTCAGCCCGGTGGCCGCCGGAGGAGCCGGTGGCGGGAGGAAGGAACCCGCGAGGGACAAGATCTCGAACCTGCCGTGTAGGGTCATGACCGCACCCGGGGCGGCCGGTTGTCGGAGCGTTACGTTGGTCACGTTCCCGGTGCCGCTCATGACGCAGACGCCGCGCTGGCGGCGGCGGGCGAAGCTGGCGACGCTGTCCATGATGTCGCAGCCGTCGGAGACTTCCATCACGTGTGTCCTCAGGGCGTTGGCGCTGTCCCGGGTGATGATGATGGGCGGCTTCGGCTTGTTCTTCGAGCCGGCCGGGCGGCCCCTCGGCCTCCTGTTGCCGGACATATCTCCTCCTCCTCCTCCTTCCCCAGAGCCTCCGCCGCCGCCCCCGGCGGGGCTCCCGTCGTTGCCGCCGTCGAAGTCGCTCCTGCCGACCTCGTCGCGGTTGCGCTTCTGGCCGCCGCCCATGTTGCTGGTCTCGCTCTGCTCATCCTCTGAGTTGTGGGTCTGGTGGTGGTGGTGGAACTGGTGCTGCAAATTGAAATCTCTGGTGTGGAACGGCGGCGGAAGTGAATGCCCATCCATTTCTTTTTTTTAAGATTTCAACTTTTTTGATATGGGTATTCTTTCTTTGATGAAAATCAGCTCGGGTTTCCGCAACCACCGCATTATTGAGCTGAAACCACCATCTTTCCGCTTTCCAAGAAACTATCTGACGGCGGCGCGTTAGGTTCTGACGGAGAGTTTCGCTCAGAGCCTAGTTGCAGGCAGATCTGCTTGGTTGGCTTATTGGATTTCAAAGGGCTGGTTTTTTGTTTTTTGATTAGGGTTTGAATTTTAGTAGTGGACTACTATTTGTTCATAAGCGGTGGTGGACCTCTCTCTCTCTCCTCTCTCTTTCTCTCTCTCTCTCCTCTCTCTCACACACACTAAAGTGTATCTATATGTGTATGCTTTTTTTTTTTTTTTTTTTTCACACATCAGCAAAACTCAGATTATAGTTATAATAATCACGTTGCTCCAAGTCCTCTTTCACCAAATTCAACTTCTCTTTGTCCGTATGTATCACAAGGTCTCAATCAACTAAAATAACAAATAATTCTTTTATTTTTTATTTTATTTATTTATTTATATAGATAATTCGAAATTATACTCCTTACACTTTGCAATGTTGTGAATTATGATATCTTGATTTGATCTTATATGTGGGAGTAGTGATAGAACAGTGGTTAAGGTTTTCTCTTTCTTTGTAATAATCAATAGCTACATACGAGAGGGTTATTAAGGTAATTTCACATGAGTATATATATAGTCTTTTTCACCGGACCACTAGTAGTTATCAGGATAAGGTGGTTTTTTTTTTAAATTTCTTTATTTATTTTATTTTAACTGAATATCTGCTCCTAAAAACCAACAGCCTGGAAACTTTTGTATGCAACCGATATAACTACTTCAAATCCACATGACTTATTAATAATTAAAAACGAAAAAATATTAATTAGTGTTTTTTTAATTAGAAGAAATGTGTTAACCTTATCAGGTGTAAATATATATATACTTGGGGATTGGCATAAAAATTAACAATATGTTCGGTTGACAAGATTCAAACTAATTCATTGGAGCAATAAAAGTTGAAGCTCGTAATTAAATACTACTATTGAATAAGTAGTAAATACTAAATACCCTACCACCTCTAGAGTGATTAGTTATGTGTTTTCTTCGTTGTCGTAGTTTAAAGTATGTTTCAGACGTTGATGAATCCTTGAAAAATCTGTATTTTTTTCCATTAAAATTGTAATAACATTTAACATAAAAGTCGAATTTTAATTATGTGAATCGGACTGTTCTTAGAATTCTAAGTTATTGTAGGACTAGAATTTAATTAATTTTGCCATTTATGGTAACTAATCTATTTGTATTTATATGATTTAATGATTAAGATTTACGATTTTCGATTTTAATGGAATTTTATAGTTATCTTTTTCTAAATCCGCACGCACACTCAAAAAATGAGAGTAATTTTGAAAATTATTACTTTGTAATAAATTAAATATGATGATAAACTTATTGAAAATTGACAGCAAACTTTTGAAATTGGCAGCTGATGATGCTAAAATATTTATCACCTGGGGTTGTGTAGAAAATGAACTGGGAGAGCAAAGCAGATCAGTAGCTTGACAATTTGATGATCCTGAGGTACCTGCGAAATGAACACACGTGAACTACGCCGGGGGTTGATCCGGCGGAAACCCCTCCGACGCTCAAGTCAGACGTGCTGATCATAGAAATGGTCCAGAGAATACGTATTGTAGTATTGCTCAGTTAATAGGACGTCCCTTAATAAAATGAGGAAAACCTCTATTTATATGTCGTTTATTGGGTTGGGTTTGCTTTGTTGGGCCCAAACCTTACTTGAAGGTGTTTGGACCTCGGTGATATTAGTCTTCGATATTGGACTCGTAGCCCAGTAGGTAAAGAAATTGTAGGCCCATTGGGTTGGCCCAATTAGGCATATATCATTAAGCCCCCCACTCTCGAGTCGATGTGGGGGCCATGTTGTGATGGGTCTCAAATCGTGTCGAGAGTAAAAATTGGAGAAGTCGATCATTGGCGTATGGCCTAATGGTATGCGAAAACGCGTTGGAGCGTGTGTCGGAGGGGTGTGAATGCGCGTTGGCGCATAGCGCGACAAAGTTGCCGCAATATAAATTAATCGAGTCGTCGGTTTTGTCCCGCGACGATGTAGTAGCGATTTATCTCCTCGTGGGAGCTATCTTGTCGCGGGGTGATAGTGTTGATCGAGTTATCTCCTCGTGGGAGTTGTCTCGCGATAATGTAGTAGCACGGATCAAGTAATCTCCTCGTGGGAGTTGTCTTTGGGGTAATCGAGTTGATCGAGTTACGTCTTCGTGGAAGTTGTCTCACGATAATGTAGTAGCACGGAGCTAGTATTCTCCTCGTGGGAGTTGTTATTTTTCGACATTTTCAATGTTTTGACGCGTTGCTTGTATGTGTTTACATATAGCTTTCTGCGTGATGTACTTGAGGAGGGGATCAGGCTCTCAAGATTTTTTTTTATATGGGGGTCGTGCCCCTTGTTAGACCTCGTGGGTCTTAAGTATGTTTGGACCGTGGCCACGTTTTAATGAATGACCCATCGAAAACAAGTAGATAAATTTGAGTAATCAAGCTGGCCAGGCTATATAGATTCTCATAATATCTCTAAGTGCTTCTAGGATTGTAATCGTGCTAACTTGAGCTTGCGATTATATGGTGAATTTCGGGCGAGTTGTCTCCTCATGGGAGTTGTCTTGAGCGAAGTTGTAGGAGCATTTGATGATGGGCGATTTAGGCGCGTGTGGATTGAGGTTGCTCTGAGCGAGTTGTCTCCTCGTGGGAGTTGTTTCGCAGCGAGTCTTATTATCGAGCGAGGTGGTTGCACGTGGGAGCTGCCTTGCAACGGATTTGTAATATCGAGCGAGTTAGCTCCTCGTGGGAGTTGTCCCGCTGCGGGTTGGGATACCGAGCGAGTTGTCTCCTCGTGGGAGTTATCTCGCTGTAGGTTGTAGTACCGAGCGAGTTGGCTCCTCGTGGGAGTAATCTCGCTGCGGATCATAGGATGGAGCGAGTGGTCTCCTCGTAGGAGTTATCTCGCTGTGGGTTCGTAGGACCGAGCGAGTTGGCTCCTCGTGGGAGTTTCCTCGCTGCGGATCGTAGGATGGAGCGAGTGGTCTCCTCATAGGAGTTATCTCGCTGTGGGTTCGTAGGACCGAGCGAGTTGGCTCCTCGTGGGAGTTTCCTCGCTGCGGGTCGTAGGATGGAGCGAGTGGTCTCCTCGTAGGAGTTGTCTCGCTGTAGTTTTGAGACTAGAGGGGGTTAGCTCCTCGTGGGAGTTGTCCCACAACGGCCTATAGGACGGAGCGAATGGTCTCCTCGTGGGAGTTATCTCGCTATGGTTTCGTAGACCCGAGGGAGTTGGCTCCTCGTGGGAGTTGTCTCGCTGCGGGTTGTAGGACGGAGCGAGTTATCTCCTCGTGGGAGTTGTCTCGCTACGGGTTGTAGTTCCGAGCGAGTTGGCTCCTCGTGGGAGTTGTCTCGCAACGAGTGTGT